CGATACCAGCAAAATGGACTGCTGCACCTTATTCCACGAATTGGCCGCGAACTCCCCCACTCTCAGGAAACAAAAAAATGCTGACAACATGGCCGCCCGAAATAGTTTCGTTTCAAATGATAATGAGGATATGTGATAATATTGCGGGTGAAATAGGAACCCTCTTAATTGTCTTTGCTATTACCACTACGCCTAGAGCCCTTGAATATTTTAGCAACTGCAAAGGAGTCCTTGGGGTCAGGTGCGCCTTTTAATTTTAATTGGCAACCTACTCCCGACACATAGGTCGATATCGTTGCTGGGGAATAATGCTGCAGCGAAAGCCATGCCATGAATTCTCAAATACATCTGGGGGTTACAATGTCTATGTTGTGGCGGTGAACCCCTGACTGCAAGAAACGACAAAATGCATTCCATCCCAAACTGTACACTTTGTTGGTGCTGGGCATGAAGGCCAAGTGTAACAGCCAACTTATTTCATGGTCTACCATACCTGTGGAAGTGCGGGCAACGGAGTCATGTCGGGGGGCTAATGCTTGGAAGAGTCGCATCTGCTTACCCCAGGAATGTGTACTGCTTTGAAAGTAAGATTGTACTTCAAACATTCCAACACCAATAAACGGATAAGATGCATTGACATGGAACACTTGGCCAACTGATTATTAATCATGTGAACCACGATCAAATTGTCCGACCGAAACTTTACCTTATGATTGGCCAAAAGGGGGCCCCAACACATAATGGCAACGACAATAGGATACAGCTCTAGAAATGCAATTGAGGGTGGCGATAACTCCTGTGGCCACCGCCCTTGAAACCACTTCCCTCGAAAATATGCCCCATAACCCAACAAAGCCGCAGCGTCCGTAAAAAATTCAAGAGCATCAGAGGATTCCCATTCCTGATCCAAAATAGGAGTAACCCCATTAAACTCTCGTAAGAATGTCAGCTACATGAGGAGGTCAAGTTTCGCTCCCAGTGTCAAGCGGATTCTATGGTGCGGGAGCCTGACACTCCGTGTTAATGCAATAAGACGCCAGATAAAGGCATGCCCCGGAACAACAGCCTTACATACAAAGTTTGGGGAACCGATGAGGGACTGTAGTTTTATGAGGGTGCACTTTGACCTGTTAAGCATAGTGCAAATCTGACCACTGATTGCTATCACTTTCTCACGTGAAAGAGCCTGGCTCTTTCTAAGGTACGAGGCCGATCGGCGAGCATTGTAGATTCTTTAGTGGGCGCATTGTGAAGGGGCCAGCAATGCGGTCGGCTTGAATTTCTTTAGCAAGTTTTTCTCTAACAATCAGGGATTCTGATGTTGCAGAGCGAAGGGGCTCGGAATCCCTGCTCAACGGAGGCCTACTAAAACCCAAGGAAAATCCCACTGAAAAACCCTCACTCAGTATCTGTCGATCTGCAGTGTTATCATACGACTCTAACCAGTTCAATTAAGGTGGAAAGCTTGCGGTAGCACCATGCAAGGATACGATTTCTTGCTGAGTCTGTACGGTCCTGAAAAGAACCGTGAGGAACTCAACGTTTCGGACAGTATGCTCTGTCCGTCGTCAGGAGACTGGAGAGATGCTGACATGGAGTGGGGCTTATAAGCTGACTGGGAGTACTTGAGTGTGACGGATCCTACTGTGTAGTCAGGTGGAACGAGGATCTTCCGGATCTTCTTTCAAAGATTCTCTTCGATATCTTCTTTTTCACTGATTGCATGATTAGTCCCCCCAACAAGGATGCAGATCCCAAGCGGGGAATAGGAGTAGGGGCAGCCAAAACGCCTTGGAGACACCCCATTGCAACATTTGTAAATCCCATACTGTCACTGAACCCACCAATGGCACCGGCCAGATTCAATCCCGGGGCCCTGGTCAAATTAGGCGTATATCCCTTAGCTACGGCATGCATGAAACTTGCGTCGGAAAACTCACTCAACCCTTGTGAGGCCTGGCTAGACGTCCGAGGTAGGCCGTCCTCCTGCAGTTCCGGTTCTGGCGGCATCGGACGAACGGGCTCTCCATACAACTGCGGGAGCCCAGGATCCCCGCCGAGCTTTCTTACTAGGCCCAGCGCCGTCCTGTAGACAAGCAGGGGCGGATGTCCGTTGCCGTGGTCGTGGCATTCTGCAGGCTGCCCCCTGGTAGCGATCACCTGTCGTGTGGAATCCCAACACTGTCGTCCACGTAGGCCTGACAGAACCGTTCGAGGTTGCAAAATTCTGCGATGAGTTTAAGTCGTCCGCAATTGACAGACAATACAGGTCCTCGCTCGTAGAAACTTCACTACGACCGAGGTAAGGTAAAATCCCCTTGGTTTGATCGTTCGAAGCTGCGACGAAAGTGGCTGGCGAAGCATGAGCGACGTATGCTGCTGATCAGCTCATTCGCATTGACCTAATAAACCTGTGGAGTTGAATTGCCAATGAATTTGGCGGGCTGCCCCCCGCAATGATTGGAAATCTCTCGATCTTTGTTCTGGCTATTGCTCCACCCCATTTTACCTAGACGCTACTATTACACGACAGGCGCCCTTCGAATTTCAACACACAATCTACACTCAGCACAAACATGTTTTCTTTTTTCCTAGAGTATAATGAATTTTATCGCTAAGGTCGATAAAATGTCTAAAAGTAAAAGACATTTAAAAGACATTTAAGTAAAAGACGAAAATATGCTGGATTTCCAAGACATATAAAAGCTGATCTTACGAAGGTCTTGAGTGTATAACAATCTATTTAAGCTGCAGCTGGCATATGTCTGAATATTTCTAACATTTACCAACATTAGCATTTTGTGGTATTAAAAATATTGTGTAAAAGTTGACGGTGTTTCGAAGGACGTCTAATAAGCCCGGCCCGTGGTTTGTGGAATAGAATGCGGGGGAACACACTTTCTAGATGACAGCCTGGTAATGATGTCTACAGATCTCAACCTTATTTTGTCAGAAGCAGCCGTTGACATTTTTAAAGTTACCTTGTCACTGCTGTAGACATTTGATTTTTTCAATTGTTATTGATTTTTTTAGGTACTTTTAGTATGAAATATCTTGTTATGGAGATCTTTACACATACTGATGAGAGTATTGTGGCTTTGTTTAGCAAATCAATAATGGAGGGTTTATCTATGGTATTTTGGTAGTGAAACCGTCACATGGAACAACCGTGTCTGAATACTTGGCAGAGATGTCACATGAATTTTAAACTCAATGGAGCCATGCACTTGAAAACAGATTGCCATAGAAATCTGGGACAACAAATCAAGTGATGATGTTTTGTCTTGAAGATTTGTGAGTTTATAAAGACAGGCATATTGAAAAGGCCTATAGAGAGATGTTTAACCGATCAGAAACTGTTAGCCATGGCCAACACCAAAAGAAGTACCTCACTGAAATTCAAGGGTGAGCCACTCTCCTGGCCCCCTGAATGTCTTGGTGTAGAGTGCATATGTGTCTGCTATCCAAGAATGTGTTATAAAGGTGTTTCTTTTTTAATTCTGTTCATTGCTTCCAGGGAATAACATTCTTATTGCTTTACAATCTCATCATATCTGCTAATAGCAGATATGGGGCTGAATACATTAATCAAATTAGGTATACCTTACTTGAGAATGTATTAATTAAATACTAAAAAAATTGCCCGTTTAAAACTGTATCAAAGCATAACATGAGAATTTTAACAGAGGTCGACAACAAACTTTAGACACAGTTTGCGACTGCGAGCTTTCATTATCAATCATTGATAAGTGATCATGTATTTTTACCTGTATTATTTAATTTAAACGGAATGCTCACCTTAGCGTTCGTCCGGGGTGTAATAATATTCATTAGTCTTATTTTCATAGGGTGAAAGTAATTATGCCCATACTTGAATTGGGAATTGATAACACTCGGGCCTTAATCTGAAGAGCGTGGCCCTATTTGTAGGCCCTACGTTCTTCATTCATTTTTAACAGCGATAGTGTATTGTTACCAGTATTAAATAAACTACAATGAATGCTCACCTTGGCGTTCATCATCTGGGTGTAACACTTCTTTTTACAATTTACAAGAGTCACTGTGAAAAAATGCAATGACTGAATCCCAGAAAAGATACACGATAGTTTCAAATGATATAAATAGGAACTCAAACTTACCTAAGACATCATTTTATACCAGATAAAAAACCTTTTTTATTTTGCCAACGTGCATGTCTGCGGCCTTAGTTTTCAACCATTCTTTCTCAGCTTTCCAGTGCCAAATGCAGCTCCATGCTGATGAACGACAATGCGATTGCAGCTTTGCAGCATTTTACAGCTTACCATCACATACACCACTGTCTATATTTAGCCAACTTCACTGAATTTTATTACTTCGGATTTTGCATCAGTTGTGTGCATTAAGCAACACAGTGGACTGTCATTTTCAGCTCAAACAAAAATCCCTGTGTGACACATCCATTGAAGATGCCATCTTGCACGATGCAATCATCCCGACTCAGCTGAAACAAGTTGCATCTTCATTCAGTTTGTATGAGAAACTCATTGTGATTGGATAGCAGGGGAAATCATTGATTTATTTATTTAGATGGTTTGAAAAAATTGTGACTTAATTTTAGAACATTTTAGTTATGAAAAAGCTTGTTTTCTTGAAAATGTGATAGATTTGTGTTCGGTAAGTTTTAGGCAAATGAAGCCCAAAACTGAATAGCTTCTTGAAAGGGGTCACCTAAGTAAAGAATTTGCATTATCATATTATTACCTAGAGGTTGGTTGCATGACAGGGCCATTGGATATTGATGTTTCCAGCCCTCAAAGCATTTCACTGGCTTGGCTATATTAAAAATGTATACTGTTAAGTGTCTGCTCATGCAAATCATCAACGAACAAAGAAAAGCCCTCTTGGAGGATGGAAGCTTTCTGCAGATGCCAAAAGTGTCAACAAGGTCTTCCAAATAATGTCCTTGATAATTTTTCTAATTTCATGAAAAAAGTTTGCATGATTTTGTTTGTTTGCAGGTAAATATCCCCATTTGTTGGCAAGTGCTCCTGGTAAGAACCCGAAGGCCATGGACAACCTCAGCATGGAGAATGTTATATCATTTGGAGATGTTCCCATTGGAACAGTATCAGAGAAATCACTGCTACTGTACAATCTCTCACCGGTAAGTGGATTTTTTCCAATGTATTCCAGCAAGGAGGAAATTGGTTGAAATTCATTCTTACTTTTTACCTCCAGTTCACTACAATATAATTATTAAATTTGTCATGACTTTCCTAAGTGTGGCCAAGTTTCTTCTTTTGACCATAAATAATATAACTGATTTGAAAAAGAGATCAAGCACGATAGGTTTGTTTGATGGACATTTCAATGAAATAAAGGTTTGTTTTGGCAGCATGTGGATCTCTTATGTGTGTAAGTGAAGTTCTGGAGGGAACCAGCTCTCTTCAGAACCTAACTCCCTTAAGAGTGAGTGAAAAAAATGTGCCCATGTGGTTATGACCTGTATACAGTACTGTAGAGATATCTGAACATTTGTGACCTTGCATACATTACAGCACATGCATGTTGAGGATATTTTCCTACACGGTCACTCACTCTGGAATAAATATGCTGCTGTGGTCCACACAAGTGGCCTCCCTGGTCCACCTCTATTCCTCCATCTGAACAATTACATGTACAGTTTTTATACATATGCCTGATTCTGAATACAATGTAAATAATGAAGGCCAATATGTGCTTGAGTTGTGACAAGTTGTCATTGATGATATTGAGCCTGATGGACCGTTTCACATGCAGTAATGCACAGAGAACGATATGTGCATGTTTTAATGTGCATGTAATTGTTTTTGACAACGGCTGCACTGGGCTAGAATCTCTTACAATGCATGTGTACCCAGCGTGCATAATTGTACATTGTGGTATTGTTAATAAATTGTGATGTGATCTGGATCAGTATGTGCGAGAGTTCAGACTTCTTGGGGCTTTTTATCATCAATATATTGGAGCGTAAGTTTCGAAATACATGTAAACCCAAAGTTTTGTGCACAATTAAATCTCAAAATGTTTCAATTTGGCAGCTGCTTCCATACACTGTAGAATATTGTTAAATGTTTTGGAAACTGTTGAATATTGTTAAATGTTTTAGAAACAGGTTAGCACATGACAAAATGCTTACACTATAAGATTCGGGTATAGTGTACCACGTAAGTCTATTTTCACGTGTGTGTATTTGATTGAAAATTCAAAGTAGCAAAACTTAATCCATTACAGAAAATTTCTCACCTCCGATACTTACAAATGCATTTCCAATGCCCATATGAAAGCACTTCTGCTGAAAAGAATAAAGACCATGATATCACCCCATAAACACTGCGTGCCTCATGGCTGTACATACCAAAATTCCATAGGTAACTCACCCCTTTTTCTCCAGCACACACGCAGAGTTCGCACACATACTTGAGTTTCACATTTGTCTTATTCATGCTTGGCGTTTCAGAACATATTTCCAACACTTCCTCCTTACCCAGGGTGACCAGATTTTAGAAACTGAAATAAGGGACAGCACACATTGTGAATGTCCTCCTCCCCTGTTAAGATCTTTCTGAATTTGGGGTGCAAATTATGCAATTTAGCACACTTTAAAAGTGTGTATGATTTCATTGCACTGAAAAAGAGGATATAGTACATTTATTCTTCATTTAAAAGAAAACAAAAAATAAACACAGTTTGCACTGGGCAAGTCATTTGTCTCAGTAATCTTTTAGGCAGTAAAACTTAAGATGGGAGACAATGTTATCCAAATCCAATTTGCAGGAATATACATAGCCCCACAGCCCTAAATGTGGGGCTAGAATATACATAAATGTACCTCTTGATAGAAGCCAGTCTTTTAATTCTTTTTCTGATTACCTCTTTGACCTGAACTTACTTCACGTTTCACCTTTTTAGTAGGGTCTGTTACTTTTGAGCTTGAAGCCATCATTAAACTCTAATTTCTGATTATTTCTGAAACTCCAACATAATGATAAACTGTGAAGCTTGTAAGAATGTACAATCTGGTTCAGGTTTTTCCTCAACCAAAGATTCCCTGATGAGTGATAACCACCGATGACTCATGATGAAATCTTGTACTGTGTCAGTTTCTGTTGTCTAGAGCTATAGGTCTAAGTCTTCGCTCCATTGGAAATACGCAGAGATGCATAGACAATAGAGTAACTTGAAGCCGTCCCCCTGGAAGCCTGTTTCGGACCTGTGTTGTAGTTGAGACCACTTAAGACATTCACAAGACCAGCACAAGACCTCCAGTCTGAATTCAAATCAAAAGCTATTCAAATGAACTGTCATTTTTCACCATGTCACTTGTGACTTATCTTGTGTCTGGTCTTGGGATAGTCTTGACTACAACACTGTTTCCGATATGGCCATAGGTCGGTCATTATCACTCATGGTTATCATGACGAGATTCAATGAGAATAGTCTCCATTGGAACAACACCTTCACATCAACCAATTGGAGCTTCTGACAGTTCTCAAAGCCCTCCAACATACACCCAACAGCGTATTAAACAACTTCATTCAGGTGAAAACAATTCCACAGTAGTATCCTACCTAAATTGTCGGGGGATACTCATTCATCTTCCCTGTGCATGTGAACCACTTGCTGCAAGGTGGAATATGAAGTTGGATGACGTATACATGTACATGTACCTATTTCCGAATTTTTCTGTTTCCAAATTCTTAAAAAAATCATAACTTTATTTACTGGAAGTTTACACCCACATGAAGGACTGTCTGGTGGCTACTGTAATCTGATAGGCAACATCTATTGATGCCGGAGTATTTCAGCCAGGCCTGCAGCCTTGTAAAAGAGCCCAGATTGTGCGGTGTTATAAACTGGCACAGTGCTCTGCTGATGTCTTTTCAAGGGGCATAGGGGCCATTTTAGTGTGCAGCAGTATTGTATCACTCATCGTTGGAACGCTTTTGTCCCCGGTGGTAATCCGCTTGGGCTGAATGCCACAAACAGTGGTATTATCTTTCAAAACAAGGATGGATTTACTCCGCTATTGACAACTGAAAAAATATTGGGGATTGCCAGCTGCTCTGTCTTTTGTAGTACGGTCTTTTGTTACAAGGCCCAGCTCTTTTGTCCAGTTTCAGGCTCCCCGGCTTTGTGTATTCAGCCTATGTGCCCAAAACCGGGTTCCCGGGCAGCATGTGGTTAACATAGAAACTCCTCAGTTGGTGCATACCTCATCAGATCTTTCTCCAAGCCAGTCACCTGTCAGGAAAAAAACTTACAGTAAATTCTTAATAACGTGAACCTCAGAGGAATGGATAGGATAATTTGAGTTATCTGGATTTTGAGCAAACAAGTTCCCAAGCTCGCATTGCACAAGCAACCCTACTTATCCCCACTGCAGCTATTGGAGATGGTATAAGTGGTTGTTTCCTTATATAAAAAAATAAATTTCTTTTAAAATCGTAATATCATCAGTTTGCTGTGATTGCATGTTTTTCTTATGAAAAATTTTCTATTCTACTTATCAATAAAATAAACCACCAAAACTGTGTCCTTTTGGTGGCAATTCTTTTGTTCGGCACACACCGCAGCGCGACACACACAGCCCTCTGTATGCTTTCTTGCTTGGTCAGGGCAGGGCCAGGGGTTTTCCTGTTTGGCAAAATGATCATTTCTTTTGTCACTTGAGAGCACACCATTTTGCCTTTCAAATCATTTGAGTGTAAAAAAAAATTAAAAATAATTTTGTGTTAACTTTTCCTCTTTACCCTTTTGAAAAAAATGTGAGTGAGATATCCAGGCCTTGAAATGAACGACGGCCAGTGCCGTTGTTGCCCTTCTCACTGGCTGAGGTGTCTCCCAAAAATCTCCCTCCTCATGGCCAGTTTTGCCTTGCTTTATATTTACCTTGATAATCGTTCACTTTTTCCATAAAAATCTATAAGCCTATTAAAACACAAAAATCCTTCTTTCCAGATGCTTGCAAACCCACTGAAAGTGTATTTCGATGTCATGTCATCCTGATCAGTTGTTTTAAAATCTCACAGAATTGATATACATGTACACAACATGCATGCATAGAATGTACATTGTATACGTTGACAAAAAGCATGCGGTGTACTTGGGCAATTCCATGAAAAATGTTCACTTCAGTGAAAAAAGTAATGCTTCAAATTGCACTTAAGCTCTTAAATATTTTTAAAAAGTAATGTGTTAATTTTCATTTTCCTTACCACTTCTAGTTTTATACAAATGGCATAACGGACATGACACTTTGCGTAACGGACATGACACCTTATATGAGACAGGTGGCAGAAACAACATTGTGACTGTCCAGTCATGTATCTAGAGTCAATACCTGTGATTCGAACTTGATATTTGAGCCAGCAAGGGGCTTAGCAAAATCTGCAAAAATGAATATCATGTTCGTTTAGGCGCCATATGGGACTGCTCGATGTCTGCAGCACTGAAGCCTAATTATTTGGGTCATAAAGTCTTGAATTTCGAATACTGTTTATTCTGACATACATACACACACATTAAGTAAAATTGCATATTTTCTATTTGGGAAGTTTTGGAACATTAATGCAGAGTGGGTCTATTGACAAGTGAATGTTTTGGACAACAAAATCTAGACCACAAACGTTAGATGTCATTAAAAAAAAGTCGCCAAATCACACCAATTCTGAGAAAGGAGGCTATTTGAATTTATGAATATACGTATTGCCTAAAATTCCAGCTCAGTTGCTGCACACATGTACATGTACATGTATGTACAGCCATTGCTAGATTTACATTTCATTGAATCCCATTCGAGAAAAGCTACAAATACAAACACAGGCCTAATCCCTACCACATTTCCACAAATTGGGATATCAACCATCAGACATGTCAGCAATCATGAATGATGAAGTAAACAAATTTTGTCCTCAGTCATTAGCCACTTTGACATTAGTATTTTGATAGGCTGGCGTGACTGGTACATGCTCAAAATCATCCGAAATTCATCTCCAAACAAAACCATGCTCACCTTCCTCAAATCTCAAAAAATGATTTGCAGGTATTTTGCAGTACCTACATTGTCAGTCTATAAGTATACTGGACCTGTAAACAGGGCCCGACGTATACTCCTCCGTCATA